TTTCATCAATCTCAATATAATTAATATTATAAAATTAATATATTATCCCAACATATTTTACTACCTATAATAATTCTCTTAGACTCAAAGAAAAGTTTGCCTAGTTTTTTCTGTACTTCAAAAACTTCAGAATTTCAAAGAAAACCATTAAAGATTTGCAATATATATACTACAACGCTAATAAGCTTTAGAACATAAAAAATGTTGAAATCAAAGTAGTAGGGACAAAATGTTTCCATACAAATAAAATAAAGTCATCTATCTCTACAGCTGAAGCAAAGAACATCAGAATCCAAGGCATTTTCCAGGTTTCTTGAATCACAAGTATCTACTCTATATATACAAACATACAAATGTATCCTATCTTTGATCCTAAAACCTAGCTAAATAGTACCAATGTTGCCGACAACATCTCTTGCTCCGCCACCGCGCCGCCGCCATTCCATTGTCTGTTACGTTATCCTCGTCATACTAACCCTAATCATTATCGCTGCTGTAGGGTTTCTCATTACCTGGTTTGTTACTAAACCCAAGAAACTTCATTACAATCTCGTAAATGCATCGGTCCAAAAATTTAACTTCACCGATGACAATCACATGTCCGGTACGTTCAAATTCACCATCCTATTGCAGAACCCTAACCACAGAATCTCGGTCTACTACAATTCGGTCGAGATATTCGTGAAATTCAAGGACCAGACACTTGCGTTCGACACGGTCGAGCCATTCCACCAACCGGGGATGAACGTTACGCAGATAGATGACACTTTGGTCGCACAGAACGTAGCGGTTTCGAAATCTGATGCTAAAGATTTAAGGGCTCAAACTTCTTTGGGAAATATTGATCTTCCAGTGTATGTTAATGCGAGGGTTAGGTTCAAAGTCGGGATATGGAAATCAGCACGTCGCACGGCTAAGATTGAGTGTTCACATGTCACGGTCTCTTTGTCGCAGTCATACAAATCCACAAATAGTTCATGTGATGCTGATATTTAATTAATATGTTTGTATTGTCACAAGATACCTCAAGATGACGTCATAATCGTAAAAATCATAGACTTTACATTTTCAACCTTTTTTTTTTTGAAGAAAACATTTTCAACCTTATTATCCAAAAAATTGTATGTTGAAATAAAGAGCCTAGCTAGTTTTAGAATCTCAGTTTTTGTGTGTGTGTGTGGGTATGAGCTTCCAAATTTCGAAACTTGCAAATTACTGAACGAAACAATATATAATATATATTCAGCAAATATTTCGAAAATAATATTCAGGAAGAGAATTCTATGTGTATATTTTGACCTACTTAATGCTCTCTAAATAACATCATGAAATCCTGGAAGAAATCATATATTTTTTTTATCATAAAAATATATTCTAATATTAGGTCAAAACATCGTGAATACAGGAAAAAGTTGGTCATTCCGATTAAAAGCGTTCGCTTGAAAGAAACATAAAAATAATTATGCATGTGTGATGTGTACACAAACTAACTAGTCATGGACCTTATGGAAGAATGGCATTATCATGGGCAGCGACTAGTGTGAATAACTTTATTTGAGTATAGTTTCCAATTTCATTTCAAATTTGTTTTTCCAAAAAGAAAAGTGAATGTTGAAGAAAATAGGTTGCATCCATTACAAGCAAACTGTCCCCACGCGAATAAGAATCATAACAAATTGGAAGATACATGATTGAATGTTTGATTAATTTTAGCAACGATATATATATTTTCTTTAATTTGTACATGAGAGTGCATTATGAGAATATTCATTTTAGTTCTAATACAATGAAACTATATGAGAGACAGAGTACATTATGAGACTGATTTGTTCTAAACGGACTTAACTTTGAATACGGAAAAATGATTTATGTAGATTCATCACAAAAATTATTAATAGCGCTGTGGTCTATGGTCTCTAAACAATTATAAGTTGAAGATTCAATT